ACTATAAATCTTGTATTTTCTTTGAGCTCAATTCCAGGTGTTTTCTTGAGCAACTTGGTGAGTCTTTTATTATCTATTACAGAACATTGTGCACTTCCCCATGCTCTCCGCTAGAGACGTCCACACCCAAGTACTCCAACCTTGTAAATGTGCCGTCCTGCGTTAATGCCCTTGATGTTCCTTTGTAGGATCCATCTTCCCCTCGAGGGAGCCCAGCACATTCCCCGAGGGAGAATGGTCTGGACAAGACGCGCCTGCTCAAGAAAGATGCCCCCATCAGTCCAGCATCTATCGCATCCTCCAGCAGCACTCCTTCCTCCAAATCCAAAGAGCTTAGCCTTGTAAGCTGGTCTTCGTCATCTTTCTCGGCGTTGCCTCTTTCGAGATGGTTGGCTTTGATTATTTTGAAATTTTTCTATTTTTCATATTTTTCTATAGGACTCTTATTTCTAAACACACACACACACACACACACACACACATATAAAAACATACATAGTTTTTTTTTTCTACCGGGTATTCAAATTTAATCAACAAAAGTACTTTTGGAGCAGAATGGGTTTACTGACTTACCAGTGATACATGTGTGTTTTATGACTGTTTTTGCAAGGATAGGGGAGGGATATGGGGAAATTGAGTGAAACGTGTCTAAGGGAAGATGAAGAAATACACTCTGGGGTAACAGGGATGGTTTTGTCACCTATGGTTTACGGTAAATTTCGTTTTTGGCTTAGATGTGATTTTGTTGCTAGCTTTGTTTGAATTACAAGCTATATACAACTGCAATAATTTTCCTTTCCTATCTAAGAAGTAATCTGTCATTTACAAAAGTCTACCTTGACTCACACCACAAATCATGGATGCAAAAATGAAACTGCTTGCAAGTCAGGATAATCTCTCCATACCCCCTTCTTCTGTGGCTGTGTGTAGTTAATTGCATTTTTTGTGTAGTATGTCTTCCTTTTTCCTCACCAGTTATTTCCTTGTAACATAACATTAAAAAAAAAAAAAAAAAAGACAAATTCAGTTTTCATCTAACCTCTGAGTTTACAGCTAAAGGAAAGAAAATTCCTCAGTGTGTCCGCAACCTAGGGGATGTGTCTGGCACAGGGCTATATTAAGTTCTTTTTTTTCTGTTGTTTCCTCTTGGCCTTCTGGCCTTCTTGTATTGGCAACTCCTCTCTGCTGATCTCTGTGACAGTTCAGGCTTGGGTCTGTTTTAACGGGACCCGTTAGCCAGGAAACCTTGTGACGTGAGCAGTCCACCAGGAACCCAGCTCAACCAGCTTTAAATCAGAGCAACCAGCAAGTGGTCGGTCACAGTCGGGACATCACGATTTGTCAGCGTCTGTCTGGCTCAGACCAGTTTCCTAGAAATCATCTACTCTGCCCTAAATTCGGCTTCAGTTTACGTCCTCCTGAACGTTGGTTTTATGAACTCGGTGAACTCTTTTTGTTTGTTGGTTTGCTCCTTTTAATTATGAAAGTGAAGGCCCAAGCTGAAGAACCTTTTCCATTTTTTTCTTCCTTCTGATTTGCCTTTTTAAATGTTTAACGTCATGGTTAAAACTGTGCTCTAATTGCCACTATATTCTATTCCATCTCTTGTTAGAATGAAAAATCTACCACTCCTGTTTCAAAATCCAATACCCCTACTCCACGAACTGATGCACCCACACCAGGCAGTAACTCCACTCCCGGATTGAGGCCTGTGCCTGGAAAACCACCAGGAGTCGACCCCCTGGGTTAGTAAGAAGAAAGGTTTTCTGTATATTTATGCTTCTTGTTTTTAAAGAAGTTAAAGCAATTTAAAGAGTGCAGTACCTTCAGAGCAGTAATGACCAGCATTGTAAGATTGTTAGAATTATTTATTCTGAACCTTGATGCCTTTTGGATTTTGAGAATATTACAATAAGCTCATTTGAATCCTGGCTCCTTTAACGTGTGTATTAACATTTTACTAACTTACTGTTATCTGTGTTCTTGGTTTTTCTCTTCCCTCCTTCCGTTTCGGTCTGTAGCCTCAAGCCTAAGGACCCCGATGGCAGTCCCTTGTCCATACCCAACCCCGTTTGGGATCGTGCCCCACGCTGGGATGAATGGGGAGCTGACCAGCCCAGGTGCCGCCTACGCTGGGCTGCACAACATTTCTCCGCAGATGAGCGCGGCGGCCGCTGCTGCTGCCGCCGCCGCCGCCTACGGGAGATCCCCAGTGGTACGCGTGTGGCCCTTACAGAATCAGGCTCTTCCTCAGCCCGTAGGATTGCCAGACAGATTTGTGAACGTGGTCTATATAAGTGGAGGTATTTGTAAGGGGACCTGTCATACTTGTAAATTAAACTACATGCAGTTCTGTCGTGAGATCCATTTTCTTTCCTAAGGTGAGGAACTGTCTTTGTTATTTTATGTTTTCTTTTAATTTTAAACCCCCAAGAGCAGAGCAAATAATAATGAATGCAGTGAACCCTTTGTTTCCATCATAAGCTTCAAAGCTTACACAAATAATTTTTTTTCATGTATGGTTCACCCCCCCGCCCCCCCGATACATTACCACTAAAATCATAAACATCCTCTCTTCTCCCCAGTAGATGTTGCTGCATATATATTTTTAAAATCCTATTTTAAAGGCTGTGTTCTCCCAGGATTTAGGGAGGTAGCGGGTAGGCTGAGATGAGTTAATGTAACTGTGCTTGTTTTTGTTGTCTTGCCTGGGAAAATTGCAGGTTGGGTTTGACCCACACCATCACATGCGCGTGCCAGCAATACCTCCAAACCTGACCGGCATTCCGGGAGGAAAACCGTGAGTACCCCTGTGCCTCGTGCCCACTGGGCCCCGGGCCCCTGCCTGCCCTTCAGACTGAGCACTGCTAGGCAGTGTGGGGGAGTTCTTGAGGCTCACGCTTTTGCGAAGAATTTTCCATTTTCTCTTCACCCAAGGAAAGCAGTAATGAGGTGGGGTTTTGTATTTTCAATTTAAAATCTGGAGCTTCTAATATGGAAATGCAAATTACCGAAGCATCTCCAGCAGTCAGGTCTTCTCCACGTCTGTTACTGAATTCTTTTGTTGCCTTGAAAAAAAGCGTCTTATGTGCAAACCTGGATGCTCACAATTTGAGCGTGTTGGGAAAAGATGTGCCAAACTTCAAAGGCTGTGAAAAGAAAGAAGTGTGGTCTTATGCTCAGTTGTGTTTGTGGAAAAGGTGGCTCGCTCATTTGGCTTCTTGTCCCGTGAGCGAGGTATTTGTAGCATCCGTATTCACAGGCCCCTTGAGTTACGAAGGCAAAACACATCGGTTTTTCCGGCCTCTTGTATGTTCCACTCTCTCGCCTTATCTCATTCCACGTCCTTCATTTCAGTCCAGCGTAGCTTTTTCTTACTACCTGTGCACGGTTCTCTCTGCTCTCTGGCTTCGTCTTCCCGGTACAGAGACTTTACTGTGAAATAACACTGGCTCCTTCCTTAAAATCGCAGCCTGCTTCCTCCGTCCTCTCTTTGGGAAGCATCCCCGCGGACCCTCCCCGCCTTATCAGTCACATGTGTGTATTTACTCTCACGGCTCTTTCCGCTGGCCGCCTCTCTGACGCTCCACGCCGTGCACACGCTGCTTCCCCAGGCTGCTGCTTTCTCACAGCCCTCTCCTGTCCACACGTGACCCTCCGTAGCAGCTAAGTCCCTTCTCCCAGAGGCTTTCCTCGTGGCTTGCCTGCCTCGGGGCATTTGCTCTTACTGGAAGGCCTGCAGTGCTTTTTCTGTGGCTTATGGTCTCAACTTCAAGTGTCTGCTGAAATGTCACTTATTAGAGCGTTCTGCCCTGACAGCCCTATCTAAAATAGCATCCATCACTCCCTTACTCTCCCCATCACTGTTCTTTTCAACTGCTTGCCTTTTTTTATGCTTGTCTGTAGGCATCATCTGCCTCTCCCTGCTTGAATGGAAGTTCCGTGAGAGCAGAGCAGAACGCTTTACTCTTCAGTTACGGAAGTAGCTCCAGTGCCTGAAATGGTACCTGGTTCCTAGTTGGTGCTCACAGTATATAGTTTTTAAATGAGTGAATGAATGGGGGTGCGGGGGAGAGAGAGAGCACAAGTGGGCCAGCAGGTCTCTTTCTTCTCTGATCTCCCATTGCTTCTTTATTCACTCCTGTACACTCAGGCACTTAGTTTTCACCTTGTTGTTTCCCATGAATAATTTACTTCTGTCCAGATCTGTGCTAAACTTCCCTGTTGCATCAGACACAATGCTGGCTCCATAGCCAAGTTGCTCCGTAAATATTTGACTGATTAATAAGGGAGGCAAAGCAAATTAGACTTTGAGTTCCCTGAGAATCGAAGGTATAAATACCCATTACCATAAAATTCTGTGTGCCTGCCTGTGTTCTGCAAATAGTTGTTGACTGACTTACAAGTCTTGTTGACTAAGAACTCTGATGTATTTGAAGGTGAAAATTTGGTGTATTTCAAGCAGTGACTAAATAACAAGGTCATAGGATTAATCAAATAACTCCAGTACCTATGGGTTCCATATGAACCCATGGAGATGGGAGAGGTTTTTGTAGGGAAAAGGTGTGATCCCAGGTTCAAGTACCGCACAGTCACCACTTAGTTAACTAGCTGTTGCACCGGAGCTGGAGTATCACCATGGGAACAGAAGAACTGGTTCTTCTTGGCTCAGCTGCTGCCCAGGGGCCATGGCGGGGAGACAGAGGTGTGTCAGGAGTATAGAAAGAAGATGACCGTCTTGGTTTAGGTTTGGGCCGTTGGAACCACTGGCGAGTTAGAGCTAATCTGATTGAGGAGGCACTTCGGAGCCTTAAGCTGGGCTCCTTTCCTTCCCCTCATTTTGATTCTTAGCATTGTACAATTGTTGGGATCCTTTGGGGCAGATTGATGGGTTTGAGGATGGTTGTGAAGTTTTGTTCCTGGGGGTGATAGAGCCACATCTAATGCAATTGGCAAATGACATTAGGAGTCCCAGAGAGAGCAAGGTGTGGTCAGCAGAGCGAGTTGTAGAGTGTGACAGATGAAAATTTGAATTCTTACTCTGCCAGTGGGCAACCTTGGTATAGTTGGTTAACTTTGTGAGCTCATCTGTAAACCAGGGGTGGCACCTCCCTGACAGGCAGGGCGTAAGGATGGAATAAGATAAGATGTTGTATGTTTAGCACCGTGTTTGGTATAGAGCCGCTGTTCAGTCCGTTGCAGCATCATTTCCTGGTTAGCTTTGCCCCAGGGTATTATCAGTTTCTCAGCGGCTTCTGCAATAGAACATATTGTAGCGGGCAGAAGTGGCCCAAGATGATTAGATTGAGTAAATTAGACTCCACATCCCTGTCAGTTGGTGCCTCTTTATACAAGAGGGCGTCAAGACATGTAAATTCACGTTCATTTACGCATATAGAGATAATATATTTTTATTACAGATTTTTTACCGAAGAAATGATTGTAACAATTAGGTGGCTCTTCAGATCTTAAGGTACAGAATTGTGAAATTTTGTTTTGTGCTTATTTTTCAACAGAAGCAGCTCATATTTTTGTGCTAGAGCACAAAACATAATAAATCACCTAAAGGCTTTTCCCCTACCACACACACAAAGTAAATGGCCTTTCTCCAGACAGACTTAAAACAGTCGTGTATCTCTATCCTAATTATTTTTACAGAATGAGTTGCTAGATGTTATCAAAAGTTATAATTAAATGCATGTTCCAAACTAATGAATAAAGTAGCTTTTCTCGAATAATTCACATTGGGTCCTCTTGTCTATTCTGGTGAATTCACAGGGGTTCCACTCAATATGTAATTAGAACGACAACATAGTTTAATTTCAACATAAGCCCAAAACGGACTTTTTCCCTCACCTGCTACTTGAAGGAGACATCTGTAAATATATACAACTATTCAGTCAAAACCGTAGTACTAATTATATCATGAGGTATGGCATGTAATGTAGCCGTGACAGAAGACCTCAGGTTTATGGGTTTTAGGCTGCTCACAACTCAGAAATCTTTCCCTGTTGTTGTATTTGTTTGTTTTTATAAAAGCAGGCTTTTTCAAGATAGGAACAATGCTTGACACACAGTAAGCCACCAACAAGTATTTGTTGGTCGGCTAACGTACTAGTGGGTTCATATGCTACTTAGAACCTGATTTTCTGTCATACTTCATAAAGTTCAGTGGCCAGACCTTTTGTTGTGAATTCAAGGCCTAGTCCTGTCTTGTGAGACCTTGGAAACTTGAAGTGTTGCAAAGTATGAGAAAGATAAGTGCGCCGTTACAGAACTGGGCCTTTTAGAGAGGGTCAGGGAGGTGGGGGTGGGAAGGCCAGGGACCTTCTTTAAATATGCTGCTTTTTCCTAGAAAGATAGTGATTCGGATTAAATAGCATCTTCAGCGCACAAGTTTTAAAAAGAGTCATTTGCAGATGCTTTAATTGTTCGAAGTATATAGTTCTGTCAGAAAGTCCAAGCTGCTTCTGTTCTCCTTACAGTCTTCCTTAGCCATTCTTAGTTCTTAGTGCTTTTGCCTGCCGCGCACACACGTGCATATGCATGTGTGTGTGTTTTGGAAGAGTGCGGGTCACCGTATTCTCTGGTGCCCTGTGCCCTCTCCCTCCGGCCCTACGTTGCTACTAAATGGCCGGACATCTCGGACATCTTGAGTGTGTTATTCGTATTTCAAGTTCATCGTATTACGATGCTTCCCCACACTGGGTCTTCATCCCAAATTGCCCATCAGGACCACTGGCATTCTGGTTCTTGTTTCCTAAGCTCAGAAACTCAGTTATTGGCTCCTTCCTCACATCTCATTCATTATGTCCTACAGAATTTTATATCCGCTGTTACTTTTAGTGTGGCTTCCTTAGCCTAGCCTAGTTCAGGTCCCCCACTGCCTTGCATCTAGATTATTGGAATAATTGTCTCTTATTTCTCCTACCCATGTGTTCCTTGCTATCAAATTTATTCTGTCAGTTGCCCCAGTGATGTCCTACCTGTTCTCGCTCCAAAAACCCTGTGGTGAGGGGCGCCTGGGTGACTCCATCGGGTAAGTGTCCAACTCTTGATTTTGGCTCAGGTCATGATCTCACGGTGGTTGAGAGCAAGCCCTGTGTTGGGCCCAGTGCAGAGCATGGAGCCTGCTTGGGATTTTCTCTTTCCCTCTCTCTCAAAATAAAAAATGAACTTAAAAAAAAAAAAAAAAAAAGAATTTAGTGAATTCTGTTTGTCGAGTTGTCAGGCTGGCATTCTAGGCCCTCCCCTTTATAGCGTTAGGTGTCGATACATTGCGTTTCTATACATATAGATACATATCAATATATATACATGTATGTACACATTTGATCAGACTGTACTCGGGCCAGCTCCCTCAACCACTCCTCTGTGTAATCATTATTAAATAAATGAATCCTTGGATTAAAACCAGTCCAGGAATTTCCATCATTGTACCTTATCCTTTTAGAGCCCTTGCTCTCTGCTATTTGCACCCCCTGGAATTGTTTTTCTGTCTTCCTCCCTCTTTGATGGGATGCTTCCATTCCACAAAACCCATCTCTACTACCGTGTCACTGTTGAAATGTCAGCTTTGTCTTTTCTTTTTGAACCACCACAAAACCTCGTATTTCTTATCTTCCGCCTGGTATTGTGGTCACTTCTATGCTTTTCTCATCATACTTCCTAGATTAGAAGCCCCTAGTGGGCAAGACCAGTGCCTTCCCTGATTTTGTATTCTTAGCATGATGTCTGTATCCAAGCATGTGGCTAAAAGGTCCTTACTGATGAAATTAATGAGACAGAGAAAGAATAGTTCTTCAAGCCTGGGTTTCTCTGAGTTTTAGAAAGGTTGGCTTACGGGGCGCCTGGGTGGCGCAGTCGGTTAGGCGTCCGACTTCAGCCAGGTCACGATCTCGCGGTCCGTGAGTTCGAGCCCCGCGTCAGGCTCTGAGCTGATGGCTCGGAGCCTGGAGCCTGTTTCCGATGCTGTGTCTCCCTCTCTCTCTGCCCCTCCCCCGTTCATGCTCTGTTTCTCTCTGTCCCAAAAATAAAAAAAAAAAAAAAAAACGATGAAAAAAAATTTTTTTTTTAGAAAGGTTGGCTTTCAGTACACATTTCAGTACACTTTGCTAGCTACACATCAAAGAGTTTGCTGAAATCTGATAAGTGTGTACTAGAGTTTTAGTGTTTCCAGTCTTAAGTATCTTACGTGTGCTAACAGCAAACAGAGGACCACATTATATCCTTAACACAAGTAGGTTCTTGAAATTCTTATTAAAGGATCTCCAGGAACATAGTAGGTGCTCACAGAGTGGTCACGGTTGAGTTGAAGAATGTCCTATCAAAAACCTCAAAAGAAGTTGTGTGCCTAGTTTCTTAACTATTTTAATTCTCAAAGCTCTTTAAAAACCATTTAGTGATACTAGAGAGGAGAGAAGGGATGGCTTTTCAAGTAAATTATCATTAAGAATGTATAACACCATCTAAACTTGGAATAACCTTCCCCTGCCTTCTTTTAAGATTTAGTCTTCATGACCTCTTTAATTGCTAAATCAATTAGCCTTTTCCTCCTTCGTCATCCCTCAGAATCTCAGCCTTTCTCTCCAAGTATTGCTGCCTTTCCCTCCTTGCCTGATTGACACCCAGCTCTCTCCCAAGGGGAGCCTCTCTGAGGGGATGCCCCTTCGTTTGTTTCATATCTCAAAATCCTCATGGCCAGTGGTGGGGTAATAAAGGCTGTCATCACCCCACACCCCTTGCAGTGTGTTCTAGAACCGAATTCCTTTACCTTTTTGGGAAAACTCTAACCCTTTCAGGCTTGTGCCATTGGATTGTACCCTTCCCCCCTTCCACCTTGTTGGGGGATTTTCCCAGTTTATTAAAGACTGGACCCTTGGCTTAGGGTCTTCCTCCACTCGGAACCTGCCATCATCCCAGGCGACTCTGGTGTTCACAAGGTCAACCCCCAGTAACCTCGTCTCGTGGCTTGGACCATGTCCCCTCTAGCTTCTCCCTTTGAGTTCAGTTACCTACTTATAGGGTCACAAGGAAGATGTCGTCCCTGCCCCTCCCTGTGTCATCTCCGGAGTCCGAGTGTCCCATCC